TATTCTAGGTTGTGAACCTAGTACTGCATAAACATTTCAACACAAAGAACAAAATGATTAGAGAAGCATAAGATTTAAGAAGTCATTGGCAATTCATTAGCATAAATAACTTCATTCTCAGTTATTTCCAAGTTCTTGATTACTAACAATGACATATTATAGAATGGATGTTTCTTTCCATGTAACCTCACGGTTTGTGCTTGGATTTGATCCCAGCTTTGTATGCATCTATTTCTTTTTACTTTTTCAGAAAAACATGCTACTTGTTTACTTTTCGCCGTAGGGGTACGGATGCATAGTTTCTTTAGATATTTATCTTAGGGACCTATTTGTAATATTATTTTGAATATACTTTGGGGAGGGACTTTTTTTGTAATTTCTGAAAATGTGTGACAAGTGTCACACTCCCATTGGTCCACTTGTCGTCATTTCATTGGTGACACTTGGAATCCTTAGATGATGACATGTGGAGGGTGAGGATTCACCCACTTGTTGGCCTAGGATTGGTCCACTTGTTGGCCTTGGATGAGGGCAAGTGTAGGGCTTGGATTAAGCCTTGAGATGAGGCTTTAGATGGTGACAAGTGTAAGCTTTTGATTTAATCTTGTGAGGAGGCCTAGCTTGGTGATAAATGGAGGGCCTAGATTTGGTCTTGCATATGTGTGTGAGAGAGGTAGTGTTGGTGTGTGTGTGTTGGGCCAACTTAGGGTTTGAGTTATTGGAGGAATTAAAGAAATTTTCATTTTTCTCTAAACTTCCACCTTACAGCCAAACAGAACCCTCTTTGGCATTTTCAGATTTTGAACCCCATACCTTGGGATTTTGATCTTGAGCCTTGAAGATAATATCTTCCTCTCTTATTAATCTAGAACGCTTTTTTGCAGTTTTTCATTTTGACCTTGTTTGCATAGGATTCCACAGGGGTGAATCTCGAGTAAGTAGTTTGGGGAATCCTAGAACCTGTTTTGGCATTTCTGTAATTTGACACCTTTGCTTGAAGAATTTGGTCTCCAACATTGAATATTATAGCTTCCTCTCTTCTTGATCTAGAAAACTATTTTTCAGTTTTGCATTTTGAGTTTGTTTACCTTGGATATAGAGATTCTATTCTCTATTGAGGTAGGGGGTTGTTGTATGTTTATACTTTAAGTGTTTAGTGTTTTAAGGTTCAATATATGTTGATTACATGCTTATGAATTTTTGAATTGCATATTTAATGAAATTACATATGCTTGACTTAGGGATTATATGATTCAAAGCATGTTTAGTTTGTATATATGTTGTATAGAGATATATTGTGTTTAGTAGCTTATTAATTTCTCTAGAATTATCTTGTTGAAATGATAAGTTCTTATAGAATATTATTTATGTTTAATTTGGGAGCTTTTACTAGATTGTAGTATATCTAGTGTAATAACCCGGTTATTTTCTTTCCTTTCCTTTTTCCTCAAATTTTACGGATAAAATTTTTTTCCGTTGTCTTTTATTTTCTATGTTCGGTTTCTTGTCTCTTGGTGTCATCTCGAGTACTCAGGAATGGTTTCTGAGACTCTTTTCTTTGAATTGACAACTTCTTTCTGAGGACTGAGTCAATTCCACAATTTTACTTTCTTTGACACTATTCATTTTTCGTCTTTTTCCCGTTTGTCACTTTGTTGGCACAACCTCACTTTTCGTGTTCGGATTGGTGTCCACTTTTGTATGCACACATGGTATATGATTTTTTAGAAATTTGTATTTTTACTTTCTTAGAAATGCATGCTTGTAGTGTACTTTCTTTCTTAGGGGTGTAGACACACCCTTCTTTGGAATTTTTATTTCTTTTGAGGTTATTTGTGTAATTACTATAAGTAATTATTTTTGTCTTGAAGACCACTTTGCAATTAAGTTTGCAAGTATTTAGAGGAGGGACTTACTTGCAATTATTTTTGGTTTACTTTGGAATTATGGTTTTAAAAAGGGGTTTTTGTGCAATTGACCAAAGTTATGTGTGTTGATCATGGTGCTAGTTTATCCTCCACTCACATTTCATCTTCACCATTTTATCTTATCCCTCTCTTGAAAGAACCCTAGCTTCCATGGATGAAGCTTAAAGCCTTAAGCTCTGACCTTGATTTTTGATGATTTTTGAGAGCCTTCCATTGATTTCTAAGCTTAACCTTGGGAATACCTTTTGTTCTCCTCATCCTCCTCTACATAACCCTTGAAGGGTTTGACATTTTGTGTTGATTTGCTAGGATTCGAGAGGAACAATCCCCTTGTGAGGTAGGGGTGTTCTAGTTTATTATTTAAGGGTTTTACTTGCTTTTGTGATTAAATATAGGTTGTATGCATGTCTTATGTTAATTTGAGAAATTAATGATTAATTGTAACTTGCATATAACAAACTTTAGGCTTGGTATATGGCATGACCATGACTTGATCTTTGTTATATATTAATTTGGGATGATTTAATTGAGTTTTTCAAATCTAGAAATTTAATGAATTTAATTTGATTTAAATTTTACATAATTGTACTTTGCTTGTATTCCATTTTAGACTTGATACATGGCATGGCCAGGACTTAATCCTTGTTATATTTTTATTTGGGATCATTTGAATGACTTTTGGAAATCTAGAGATTTAATTCATTTAAATTAATTAAATGCTACATGATGGTATCTTGCTCATTTTGCACTTTTGATTTGATATATGTAATGACCATGCTATATTGTTTAACATATATTAATTTGACGTCATTTGGAATTGATTTAAAATCTAGAGAATTTAATTATTTTATTTAGTTAAATTCTATTTAATTGCTCCATGAATTTAATTGTGTTTAGAAGTTGTTTCTATGTTTAAATCATGGACTTGGACTTGTTGTATATTCACTTGGTTATGTTTTGAGCATTGGATAACATTGTTGTTATATTTATATTCATGAGAACATGTTTTCTTCATGGAATATATTGTCGTCTTGTGTAATGAGTTACACACTTTGTATTTGACATCTTTCATGCCATAGCAGTTGTGGACTTAAAGCATGTATTGTACGTGTTTCCAAATTTGGTTGTGCGTGATAGATAATTGATTATCTTGTATATACATGTTGATATATATACATTGTTGCACAATTTGTTGATTTTGAAAACTTGGGGATGTCGCTGTTTGAGTACGGTTAGGACATGGTTCTAGTACGAGGGGTTGTCCCTCTATGGTCCAATGCGCATATAGGAAGGGTACCCGTGGGGTAGTAACCCTAAAGTAACCACGTTGTCAGTCTGATCCGATGTGATATCCAAGTATCCACCTTGTTTGATTTCACATTTCATTTCAAATTGATAACTAGATGATGTTGTAACTTGTTGTTCCTTATTTGATTTCCCATTTTAAGTTTCAAGATGTTAACTTTGAGAATTTGTGCTTTATGTGTTGTATAAGAAGTTCCAATGTTAGTTAAATTGTATCGATATTGTGATTTTTGTGTTATTGTTCTAATGTAGCCTAGGACGATTCCTTAGACTCATTTAGAACATAATCGCTAAGTGGCATGAACCACTTTAGTTGATTTCGTATCTTGGATTTTAAGTTAATGATTTTGAGGATCTATATCTTGTTGTGTTGTATAGTACGCTTCTATATTGTTTAATTGCATAAATATTGTAATTTATGCTTGGAATGCTTTAAAGTAACTTAGGATGATTCCTGAGTCTTACTTATAACATAGACGTTAGGTGGCATGACCCTTTTGTATCTTTTCAAGTTAATGTAATAACCTTATAAAAAGTTGAGTCTATGCATGTTCATTCCCTACGAGTAACTTATTTACTCACCCCAAAAATATCGAGTGATTTTTCAGGTACGGATGCCTTGTTTGGGATCTACGATATCCCTAGATCGTTTCATTGGATTGAAGTTCATTTAAATGCATTATTGTTCATATGCAAGTGTTAGCATTTTGATTTTCACTTCTAAAATTGTAATGCATAGCCAGGACAAAAATGTCATTTTTGCCTTGGAATTGTAATATGTACTTGAGCACACTTTTTGACACTCATTTTATGTATATGATGTAATGACCTAGTCATTTACCTTCCTTTCCTTTTTTTGAAATTTTACGGATAAATTTTTTCTATTTAATTTTATTTTTTGAGTTCTGTTTCTTGTCCCTTGGTGTCATCTCAAGTGCTTGGAAATGATTTTCGAGACTCTTTTGTTCGAATTGACAACTTCCTTTACGGATCGAGTCATTTCTACATTTTTCGTTTTTTTACACTATTCACTTTTCATCTTTTTCCCGTTTGTCACTTTATTGGCACAAAATCACTTTTCGTTTTCAGATTTGATTCTAGTTTTTGCGTGCATCCACAATATTTAAATTCTATGCCATGTGTATTTTTATTTTCTTAAAAAAACATACTAAGTGTTTACTTTTCTTGCAACACTACAACAGTTTTAGTTTTTACCAGCGCTCAAAAGCACTGGCAAAATCTTTAAAAAGCATTGGTAATTCAATTACCAGCGCTTTACTAGTGCTTCTTCAAAAGCGCTGATAAATCCAGTGTCGGTAGACCTTTACCAGCACTTTTGAAGAAGCGCTGGCATAAGGTCTTTACCAGCGCTTTTTAGAAAAGTGTTGGTAAAGGGTTATTTAATTTTTTTATTTTATATATATATTTTTCTCCTATGCCAGCACTTTTTGGGAAAGCGCTGATAAAAGGTTATTTGAAATTTTTTTTTTTTTTTTTTTTTTTTCCTATGCCAGCGCTTCTTAAAAGAGCGTTAGTAAAATTATTTACATTTTTTTTTTTTTCCCATTATTGTTTTTGGAAAAAAATTTCTTCACAGCTACTAAATGCATCCTAACACAAGTCAATATAAAAATACCATCCAAATTGTTTTTACAAACAACCACAAGTTAACCCTACCAATATGAAAAATACCATCGAAATTGACTACTAATACCACCACAAGTTAAGCTAGTAAAAAATGTATACTAATACAACGACAAGTTAACCTGCCAATATGAAAATACCATCCAAATTGTCTAGATAAGGGTACTAAATGTCACACAAAAAGAATTAAGAATTTTTAACAAATGTAGTACAACTTTTTCAAAAAGAACCCATCCAAGGCGAAGGAAATTCAAAAAGCACAGCCACGACCCCATCTTCAACTTCAACTTCAACAAATCTTCTTGCCCATTTGATTTGAATTACCTTACATTTTTTATAAATTCATTAAGCGCACATTATAATAAATGAAAATTTAACATATATATATAAGAGAAATTAAAAGTTCATAACCTTAACTGAATTGGCATCACGACTAGAAAATGGATTTGGGAATACTCTAGAAGGAGCATTTAAAGAATCAGAATCCTTCAAAATAACAAAACATAATACAAGAAATCTTGGCATAAGTAAACATATATTTAGTAAAGAGTAAAACTAATAATAAATATACCTGTCCACTATAATTTTGTTGTTGCATCTGCATTAGCATAGCCATCTGTTGTTATAAATTTTCCAACTTGTCGTCGTAGTTGGCTCGTAAATTTTCCAACTTGTTGTCATAGTCGGCTTGCATTTTTGAAATCGTCTCCTGCAACTCTACACGTGTAGCACGTGCCTCCTCCTTAGATTTTTTAGCACTATTAATCAATTCAGCTTTATTAGGAGAGGGCCCCCAAACATCGCTTGGTGTAGGCCCGAAGCCAAGCAAGCATATGTACATATGCATACATATATATAGAAATATATATATATACACACACACACTTTATTCCACCATAAATCTCCAACTCAAAACGGACAGGGTACCTGCACTTTTTTAATATATTCTGAATCTGTAGTCTTCTGCTGTAAACATTCATGACATTTGTTTGTTGAACCAGTCTTACAAACCTGTCAAAACTAAATGGAAATCACTTGATTTATCACTATTACGTGGTCACATCTCAATCTAATAAAGATGAGATTTGAAATTGAAATCTGATAGTATCATATTAACTTCCCTTTATTATAAGAAAAGCAAATTGTTAAAAGAGAATTAAAGAAATCTGATAGGATTATATTAAATGCCCACAATCGCGCTTTTTATTAATCACAATTTTTATAATTTTAGGTTCATTTATAAGACGTTTCATGTCTCTATAAGAATTAAAAATATAAAAATTTAACACAACATTATCTTTTAACCTTTTCTTATCTTGCCAAAAAAACATATGGAAATATATTATTTTCTTTCTTTTTATATTTGTCAAAACGAGTAACATTATGAGAAGTGATTATTTTATTTCCTTTTTAAAAATTATATTTTAACTATATATATTCTCGTATGTTTTTATTTTATTTTTTTGACAATCTAGAATGTTATTGATATAATGGATATAATTGAGAAGATGAAAATAAAAGGAAGAAATAAGAAAAGATTAAAAGATAATTTTGTTTTAAAAATTAATATTTTTAATTTTCATAAAAGCAGAAAAGTGGCGAGCTACAACTAGCACTCCTTTACACTCTACATTAATATTCTCTGACAACAACTGGTAGATTGTGACAATTACCCCCCCCCAAAAAAAAAAAAAAAGGACCCTCAAAAATATATGTTAAAAAAGCAAGATTCATATCACCACTGTATATAAATAGTTGTAGTAAAATTTTATTGAGTGGTCTGTAGAAACAGAGCACTAAAATACATAAAATCATTTTGGTCGATCTTGGTGTTCTAAACATAAAGTCAAAACAAAACGTGCACCTTTTCTCAAATTTTGAAACTTTTCTATTCACTGAAGTCTTAGACAATCGCCAAAATCGCCTACGTATTTATAAACATTAAGGAAGTTTCATGATTTTAACTCCCTCTAAGAAAAACAAAACGTGCACCTTTTCTCAAAATTAACTTAGTCAAACTCTGACAGGCACAGAGTTAAATCATAAAAAAAAAAATAAATAAATAAATATAGGAAGAAAAAAGCCAAGTATATGTATCTCATCCATGACAAAACGATGATGTTTTGTTTTTCAAAATTAACTTAAAACGTGGTCCTAACTCCTATACATGTATGTATGGATGTACTCCCATACATTAGAATTATGTGCCAAATTTTTGTCCCATCCTGCAGCCCACTGTTTTTCAATGTCTAAGAAAGAATATTGTAACCATGAAATTAATATTCCAAGTCAAAAAAACCAGGACTCAGATCAAACATGGCATGCGCACATCCATTATTATCAATATAATTAAGTTTTTCTCCCTCTAATAATATACTTATATATATATATAATTACAGCATTATAAGTCCGGGGAAGATGGTCAACAAACTCTAGCTAGCCACTTGAACTAGGTTGGTAGCCAACTATTTATATGAATTTATTTCACTCATTTATCTTTCTCCACGGTGAAGTAATAAAACATGGAAGATGAGATTGGCTTTCGAAACAATTTCAAGACTTCTTTTACTTTTTAGTCCATATACTTATCAAGAGAAGTAAATGAATGTGTTTAATTTAGTGTTGGAAAACATAAGGCAGTAATGAACTCCTAAACTTAAGATTTGAGCATAAAATTGTTTCAAATAATTAAAAAAGACAATAGTGATCATCCATCAAACATCTCCAGGAGCATATATGCATATCATAGAGTTGCACGCCCCAATGAAAATTGGATTCACAGATTCACAGCCCCAATGAAAATTGGAAATACAGACCATATATGCATATCAAAACAGGGTTTTCAAAATCTCAACATACAAAACAAACATATATTGGCATTACAGTTATCACAGTCACAGCCCCAAAATAAATTTGAATTCGAAATACATGCAAGCATAGTCACAATTTTTCCAAAAGAATTGAACACAAAGCCATATATAGACCTACGTCACAATGAAATCCCAAATTTCCTCATGGAAATCCAAAATCCCCAAATCAACATGTATCAAAACCTCCTTCAATTTTTGAATTTTAAACATGAACTCATATATATATATAGATATTATAGGATGAGAAGAGGGAGACAAATTACCCGAGGGAGAAGAGAGGAAAAAGAGGAGAATCCGAGAGGGAGAGACCGAACTTCGGCCAGAGAATCGGCCGGAGAAGAAAACCGGAAGAGGAGAATCGGCGGCGAGACACGGTCTTTCTCCTTGGTCAAGAATCGTCTGATTGTGTGCGCTAGGGTTTATGTTTGATAGTCTGATTGTGTGTGTGTCAAAGGGCTTTATCAGATGATGATGGGGGCAAACATCAATCAAGGTCTTGCTAAATGGATCGAGAAAGAGCAGTGTCTTGCAGCTGAGAGATCGAGATAGAGATAGAGCAGAGAGGGCAGCAGATGAAGCAGCCAAAATGAAATTGAATGAAAAGGGAAAGTGGAATAATCTGTAATAGTGGGCCCAAAAAACGACGTAGTTCAGGCACGAAATATATATAAATAAGGGGAGGGAAAAAGTGGAGGGAAGGGGAGGGAAAAAATTGGAGGAAAGGCCAATACCAACGCTTCTCTTCTAAGCGCTGGTACTAGTAGTCCAATACTAGCGCTTAAAAGTAAAACGCGGTACTATTACTCCAATACCAGCGCTCCTATTAAAGTGTTGGTACTATTACTATTACTATAATACCATCGTTTTTCTTTTAAGCGTTGGTACGTTACCCCAATACCAGCGCTTCTTTCTTAAGCGCTGGTACTATTACCCCTATACCAGCGCTTTTTGAAAAAACGCTGGTAATTAATACTCAACACCAGCGCTTTTCTAGAAGCGCTGGTAATTATTATTCAACACTAGCGCTTTTTTTAAAAGCGCTGGTGAAACCCTAATATGTTGTAGTGTAAAGGGTATGGACGCATAACTTTTTTGTAATATTCTTAACTTGTGGGGTTTTAGTATAACTAAATAAAGTAATTATTTTTCATTTTATGGATCATTTTGTAATTTAATTTAGAATATATTTTGGAAAAGGATCTTTTTGCAATTTTTGGAAAGTGTGACAAGTGTCACACTCCCATGGAACCACTTGTTGACATTTTGGTGGGACCACTTGGAAGCTTAATATCTTGACACATGGAGGATGGAGATTCACCCATTTGTTGGCCTCGGATTGGACCACTTTTTGGGTTAGATGGTTGACAAGTGTAGGTTAGGGATTTAGTGTAGGAAGGAGTTTTAGATTAATGACAAGTGTAAGGTTCATTTTAGGTCTTACACTATGTATGTGTGAACACCATAGTGTAGACTCACATAGTGAGTAGAGGAATGCTAAATCCTCCACTCACCACATTTTAATTCATCTTCCCCACCACTTTGTTCTCAAACCCTAACCTAGCCTCCATGAAAGGAAATGCTTGACTCAAGGCTTTGACTTCATTTTTGAGGCCCTTCCATCCACCTTAGACCATAAAGCTTAGAATACTTTTTGTTCCCCTCATCCTCCTCTACATAACCCTTAAAGGGTTTACCATTTTGTGCTAATTTTTCTTGGTTTCTAGAGAGACACTTCTCTAGTAAGGTAGGAGGTGTTATAGTTTATTTTTTTAGTGATTTTACTTGCTTTTGTAGTGAAATATAAGTTGTATGCATGTCTTATGTTAATTTGAGAAATTAATGATTTGCTGTAACTTACATATAACTCATTTTAGACTTGATATATGGCATGCCTATGACTTGATCTTTGTTATATGTTAATTTGGGATGATTTAAAGGAGTTTTCAAATCTAGAGATTTAATAAATTTAATTTGATTTAAATTCTACTTAATTGTACCTTGCTTGTATTTCATTTTAGACTTGATATATGGCATGGTCATGACTTAATCCTTGATATATATTAATTTGGGATCATTTGAATAACCTTTGAAATCTAGAAATTTAATTAATTTTAAATTAGTTAAATTATACATGAAGATATCTTGCTCATTTTGCACTTTTGATTTGATATATGCAATCATTATGGACTGGACTTTCATATATATTATTTTAAGAATTTTTGGGTAACTATTGAAAATTAGTAATTTTATTATTTCTATGTTAATTAAATTCCACATGTTTATATCTTGCTCACTTTGCGAAATTGATGTGATATTTGCAATCATCATGGAATGGACATTCACATATATTATTTTGAGAGTTTTTGGACAACTTTGATTTCTAGAGAAATTTATTAATTAGGTTAATTAATTTCTACTTAGTGTTCTAATGATTTGGACATCTATTCCATGGGGCTTTTGCCTTTTATCATGTATCATGACTTGTTGCAACTTAGCTTCATTAATATAGTTAATGAACTTGCACCCTTACATTGGAATGATTTAATTATTCAAGAGTTGTTAAACAAATATTTAAATCATTAATCTTATACTAGTGGTATATTTACATCAATGGGTTCCTTGTGCTATAAATACTAGTTTGTAGTCTATGTAGATGCATATCATGATTTCTTAATATTTCACATGCCATCATAGTTGAAAACTTATGGCACGACTTGTGTGTTCCAAAATCTTGGTTGTGCATGGAATATGGTTTAATGCATTACTTGTATCTTGATACACTCTTGGTTGCACAACTTGTTGATTTTGGAACTTGGGATATAAATCAAGAATTGACATGGCTAGGACTTGATTCTAGTACGAGAGATAGAGAGCTCCTTATACTATAGTGCGCACTAAGAAAAGGTACCTATGGGTTAGTAGCCCTAAAGTGATCCTAAGAGTACGGTTTTAATCCTGGCGATATCTAAGTATGCACATTGGTTGATTTTACTCTTTAAATCTCAAGTGTTGCATTCTTAAAGATTTAAGACCTTTTTGTGTTGTATGAAATGTTCCAATCTTGTTTAATCGCGTAGATATTATGCATTATCCTTGATTTCATGCCTTATCTTTGTCGTGTTAATTGAATTGCTTCAATCTTGCTAATTTTCTTAGTTATCTTGTTTCGTGTTACTTTATGCTATCGTGACTTAGGAATGATCCTCTACGTGTAACTTGACTTAGATTCTAGGTGGCATGGACCACAAGTAATGATTTATATCAACATGCAAATCTCTAAATCCTTAGATTTCAAGCGTTATCTCTTAAAGATCTAAGAACCTTGTCGCGTTATATAGAGTTTTTCTTACCTTGTTTAATTTCATAGATAGTATGCTTACTTCGTGTATTTAAATCTTATTCAGCATAGTTGGAACTGTACACTTGCTTCTTGTATCTAGATTCCATTTACTATACTCGTGTATTGTATACTTACCTTATGTGTTTCCGATTTCGTTTAGTGTACCTGTGTTTTGTACACTTACCTCACATGTTTTCATCTTCGTTTAGTACACTTATAACCGATATGCTTGGATGTTATGTATCTCATTTCAATTGCATGAGTAACTTAGGATGATCCTTGAGTCTCTTTTTGATATAGACATTAGGTGGCATGTCCTTTTTGAACTGTTTCATGTTAATATAAAAATCTGTAAGAAATCGAGTCTATGCATGCTCATTCCTTACGAGTAAACTTGTTTACTCACCCTAAAGTTACTGGGTGATTTGTCAGGTACGGGTGCTTGGGTTAGGATGCACAATATCCCTAGATCGTTTTGATGAATTGAAGTTCTTTAAGTGTATTATTGTTAATGATTCATGCAAATGTTAGTATGAAATGCCACTTGTAGTCTTATGTGACAAAATGTGTATATTTGATTCTAAATATGTAATGTGTACATGAGTACACTCTTTACAATGTATTTGACATGTATGAGATGAGGCCGGAGGCCAATAACCATTATCTTGTATCCTATGTAACTTTTAACTTCATGAAATATTATGAAAATATTAAAAAATGCCAAGTCATTGCTTCACCATGCTTGCATCAGGTGTGGGAATTCCGTTTTTATTCTTTCATAGGGTCTCATTAATAATGTATGAAGTGTAGCCAAGGGCCAAATGGTCATTTGACTCCATTTTATATTTTTGGATTTCATGTTTTCCATTTCAAGTTCATTTTCGCCTTTTTGATCGTTGGGGGGTCGAATTTTGCATCGGCGGTATTTTTAAGCCATGGACCATTGTACCACGTCCTAATAGGTAAGTTACGTTTGCGTACATGATCGTTTTCAAGAAAAAACCTCTTCTTTGGTGATTTGAGCCACCCATGGACTCATTTTGCATTTTTTTTTGCATAAACTGAGTATAAGGCATTTTTGATATTTCACTTGAAAAATAAAAACTTCTCTTGATATGGTCATGTAGAAAATGTGATTTTAGAGGGGGTTTCTTCTTTGTGTTTTTCCAAAAAAACGTCGTCTCGGACACGAAAACCCTATTTCAAATAAAAAATTTTGGTAAAAGAATTTTTGCTTGCTATCAGCCTCATCTAATCGATCAGATGGTCTTCCATGGGATTTTTAGCATTTTGTTTTGGCATCTAATCGATTAGATGGATCATCTAATCGATTAGATGGTCCTGAGTTGCATCTTTTGACCATTTTTCTTCTATTAGCCATATCTTCTTCATCCGGACTCCGAAATCAGGTGATTTTTTAGTCTAAGTTTATTAATTTTTCGTCGTCTATCCAACGGTGTGCTCAGTTGCACCCAGATATTCCTAGATAATTACTAGTTTACCCTTTTAACCTCAAGTGCTCATTTTCTACATCCTGCCATTTCTCCTTCATTCGGACTTCGAATCATACGATTCTTAAGTCCATCTTGATTTATTTTTCGGTGTCTCTCCAATGGTGTGCACGGTAGCACCCATTTCTGGGTAAAATGACCATTTTACCCTTGGTCCATTTCTTGTAGGGTTTTGAAACCCTTGTTCCCTTCTTGCTTCCTTTGAGTCTCGGAACTCCTAAGGAAGCCACTTTTGTGTCTTAAGGATGACGTTCATCTCTCTAGACTTTCATTTTGTGTGAAAAGGCCATTTTGCCCTTAGAGGCATACTCGGTTTATTTTTGATCTTTTTCTTCCGCATTAGTTTTAGTTGGGCTCCGTGACCTCATTGAGGGTCACATTGGTGTCTTAGAGATGTATTATATCTCTAGAGACCATGGTCTTATCTTTTGCTTCTACATTCTTGGTTCGTTATCGGATCTACGTTCGATTCATCACAGGACGCACTGGCCTAAAAACCAGGGTCGTCACATATGATATGTGGCCAAGGGCCAAATTTCATTTGAAATCCATGTTTACTTATAATTGTTAAATTTTGCCTTTAATGTGAATATATGAAAAATTAAGGTTTTAATATGTCATTTTTGCACCGGAGTGTGCATTGGGTATGAGATTCATCCTTTGGCATTCATTTACCATGTTTGAGGTGTAGCTAAGGGCCAAACACCATTTTGTTTTCACTTTTGCATTCTTGTTTCACATATTGCATTTTTGGGCTAAAGTAGGAAAATCCGAGCTCTAGAGGGTTCATTTTCAAATCGGGTGGCGTAATGTGTGTT